CTGCTTTTGGACGGAGTCACCATCACCTCTCCACGACCACCCAGTCTTACGCGACCGCTACCGAGAATAGATCCCAGAAGGAGACCACCCTCGCGGCTTCAGCTGTATTTTGCAGCTTCCCGACAGCCAATTTAACCACCTACCCTGGGACGAACAACCCTACAGTGTTGACCCTCACTTCGAAGCGACATCTCCTGATATCACGTCAGTCTGTGGCCGAGTGTGCGGACGTCTGCCACACGCTAAGCGCCGCCTCCTTCAAAGTCACTGTCAGCAAAGACCTACCAGAGAAGGTAATACTTCCGGTTAGTGACAGGTCATCTGACAATGAAGGCTCTACTGCACGTGAAACTATAGGAATAAGCAGCTTGAGCATGAGTCCGACAAAGGCAGTGCTGCAAGAGCACGCGTTGCCTCTCAAGCTGCAACCTGAACTCGGCTCTCAGATGACTACAAAGACACCCCGACGCCCCTTGCCACACCGCAAGCAACGCAGGCGTCGACGCTCAGTGCAGCAGGTGACGGTGCAGCGTGGACTATTTCCAGCATTTGTAACACGACTGCGACAGGATGCTCAAACCGACGAGATTAAACCAACGCGGCCACTTTGCAGGAGTCTGTATCTCCTGCTAGCGGCATCTTGTCCAAGTCAACAGCGTTGGCCCCATCGTGGACGACGCCTGCACCGACCATCACGTCACAGCCAGTGTCGTCCTCCGGAATCTCCTTCAACAAACTTCCATGTGAAATATCAGCTTGGCCGAGCCCGGCCACCCCGGAATAGTCAATGCCGCCCACCGGAGACATTGTCGGTAACCCACGAGGCTCGCAGTCGGGGCCGAGTGTAATGATAATAAATAGTGGGGCTCAGGCAAGGGCGCAGGCAGGGTGACGGAAGCCGAGGAAGACGAAGCAGAATAAGAACAGCCGGCCTGCAGCAAAGGCGTTGTCTCTTATTTCTCGTCGTTACAATATATATATATATATATATATAGTGGGAGTAATAATTCAATGGGCCAACAACGGGAGCGTTGTCAACAAGGATAAATGTATTTATCCTTGTTGACAACGCTCCTGTTGTGCCATATATATATATATATATATATATATATATATGCGTGTGTGTGTGTGTGTGTCGTTGCGGTCGCCTATCCTATATAGCTATCAATGTAATCGTCGTTTAAGCGCGGGCGTTTCGAATGCCGCAAAGCGCGTTCAGCGTACCCGGGTCGCTTCGACCGGAACTGAGCGCGGATGTTGTTTCCCAACGCGCGTGCCTCCGACAGCTGTTCTTCGCGGAGATTAGACAACGCCCCGAACGAGGCTGGGGAGAAGAAAACATCTGCTACTGTGGGAGGGGAGGCGACCGGGTCAATCGGAACAGCTCGACGCAACTGCAGTTTGAGAGAAGGGCTCGACATGCATGAACCGTCACCTCACGTGAACGTGACAGAGACACGCGTGGGCCTTCGAAGTAGCGATTCCTGATACCCTTGGACCGAATTCGAATGCTCTTTTGAATAGTTCTAGGCAAGCTCAACGCCTTACGAGCAAGCATTACAAAGATATGAAAGATAGATAATACGTTTCGACTTCTATCCGGTACGTCTTCCTGTACTAGTTTTATTTTTTACATTTATGGCGTACAGACGGCAAATATTTTGCCTTTGACTCTATGAATAGTCTCGACCGCGATTAGTTTTCGTCGCACCGCTGGCTTCACGTGAATATTTTTCTGAATATTTACCAGTCGCTTTCATTCGTCGCCATATTTATCAGAATAGGAGAATGTTCACGTCGCATCGTACAAAATGTCGCTACCAGGTCTTTCCCTCTCCCAAGTAGCCATGGAATGGATTCAGTAAAATATCTTATTGCATCGTCAGTTGGTCGCCGCAGAAAGTTTTAGAATCTGTCCAATACGAGCAGAGTTACGAATATCTATCTCGCGCTGCAATTCTTTCGTCTCTTCTCTAGTCTGGATCGTCCCGACGAAAGCGCTGGAAGCTAAACAAGGAGAGGTGGCACGGGGGAAGAAAATACGTCACGCGAGGCGCCTCTTGACCTTGAGCACTTTTCCTCTTTTTTTTTCTTTAACTTCGAACGTACGGCTTTTTAGTGGGATCGCGTGGTCACGTGCGCACAGGTCGCGGGCTCCCGCGACGGCCCAGTAACTCAGTATTGAGCGTGCCATGCTCAAATCAACCAATGGCGATACTGAGGCCTGTGACGCGACGATTTTTGGAGCCTATGCCGTCATTTGTCCAGATAAAAGAAAACGATTTTTAGCTATATTTGAGAATTTTCGTAAATTCCAGGCCACGTTCGGCGCTATAACATTTGGCTCGCGTTTTCTCGGCAGTCTCGACTACCGATCGGCAGCGTTTTCTAACCATGCTCAAAAAGTGTTGCAGGGCCCCTTAACGCTGTCCTAACCGTGGAAAAATTTGGCTGTTTTTGGGTAGTTCACGATTTTTTTTTTCTGCCACATATATTGATTCATGCTGAAGTGTATGATATCAAATGATAAAAGGAAATCAGTCTTTCCTTGTTGAGTATCAATTTCAAATAGACTTATTTCCAATATTATGAGAAATTTATCAACAAAAAGAAAAAAGAATGCAACAGTAAGATTTCATATGAACAGCGATCGATGCTGTTCTGCACAGTGCAAACAATAAAAAAAAAGAAATATGCGTTTTCAACACCAAATCCTTATAGAATACTACTGCAATTATTAGCTTTGTAAATACAAAATTTATTTGCATGCATAAAAAAGTATAAGCAATAGTGCCTATTATGCCACCGTGCAAACCAGTTTCTCGACATGGTGAGACAATGGTTGGCTCACTGTGCGTTAGTTTTATTCTGGTAGTAATTATATGGACACACTCATCTGAATTTTGCCATCACTCACCTTGTGTGTGTGTGTGTGTGTGTGTGTGTGTGTGTGTGTGTGTGTGTGTGTGTGTGTGTGTGTGTGTGTGTGTGTGTGTGTGTGTGTGTCATATATATATGCAAGAAAAAAAAAACAAAAAAGCTGCGGCACACGAAAGTGAACTTGGGTCCTGTGAATAATGAATGCGAGGCGTTAACAGCTGAGCTGCTGAGAAGCACGTCCTTCAAAGTTAAAACGACAAGCTATTTATATCTACCACTTACCTCTTACCACTGCTGCCGGGCATCTCGGGGAGGAATTATCATGTTTTCAGCATTACCAGTAATATGGCACTGTGAGCGCGCGTCGCCACATTGCGCAGTGGTGGGCACTCTTTTAATCTCCCATGCGTACTTTATTCCGCTTAGAGGATCGGAGCGACCCTCCCTCGCGCATCTTCATCTCGCGGTAGAGAAGAGGGGAGGATCGTACGTCTTGGCTGGTTACGGGCTTTACCTGGAACGATTCCGTTGTAGTTACAGGACGCACAAAGGTCACTGCAATCATTGCATTCTTCGTTTGTGAAAAGCACGCACTTTTCAGACACAGCGAAGTAACAACTGAGATGCTTATTCGCGTGCATGTGTACCTGTGAGTACGTTTCGTGCGTCATTTGTGCATGAGAAACGTGGGTCACATTGTGATCTGCTTTCCATTCCGCTTGTGACCTTCCAATTTGTTGCTATCGCATTCATTGCTTCGCCTTTGCTGCAAAACTGTGACTTTTTTGAAAAATACAAATTTACGCTTGCTTATTCAATTGTGTGGTTGCATGTTTCTCTGACAACTCCTACGGTGAAAAATTCAATACCGCGTCACACCGTAGTGGGTAATCAGTGTTTTAGGGAGGGGAAAATGAGCGAGTGTTCAGTGAGAGACAGCTATGTAACAAGGCCGGCATAGGAATTCATGCTAGAATGGTGACTATAATAAACGAAAGAGGCCTAGCTCCACCCAGTCATATATACAGAAAGCTTTACCGCACTGGTGTGTTTGCACACCACGGGCCACAAGACATAACATGCCCAAACAAATTTGACCTCTCTCATTTAAGAGCTGTGTCATTTAGTACACACAGGATATGTTTACATCAACGTGCGGCAGCGATGAAACAGCCCAATGAGAGAGCGAAACTTACTGGCGGATACCTGCTGATGTTCCGAGGCAGTTTGATGCCTTATCGCCCTCCATACTGAAGTGTGTTCAATTAAAGTCGTCTTCAATGTCTATACTCCTACTATCACCGAGAGATTGACGCTCAATTTCATAAAAATTCGTGAAAATTAGCCCTTTTCGGGCAGAACCCGCGAGCAGCATCGCTGCCACAACTGAAGCCACGCCCAGTCACCTCCCCAACTGCAAAGGTGCTTTATAAATCCCCCTGTAACGGAAAAAAAAAGCTCAAGAGCTAAACTGATAAATACTGTTATAACCTTTGAAGTTTCCACGTATGATTATATGCATCTGCTTGCATATCTGGAACAGAGCAGTACAGGCACCACTGGTTAATATAATATGATCGGTTCCACAATGAGATGACAGCCGGTGTAATTAGGTCACACGTAGCCCAATGCCTCCTATGCACAACTTTCTCTGCCCTAGTAATTGAAGTAGAGGAAAAGCTAGGGAGCAGACCCACAGGGAGATAAGAGGACCTGCGCCCGGCTGATGAAAATTTTGACAAGCTCGGAATGAGTTGAGGGGTTGAGCTGGAAGAGTAATGTATAGAAGATCTGTATTAGGGAGGTAGAGTGCCTGCTGATCAGTAGCAATATTGTGAGGGTGCATAGCATTGCCTTGAATCCAGTGCACCCTCTTGCGAAATCCGTATTGCAATTCACGGTGTGTTTCGCCTCACAGATTTTCATCGCCTTGTTAACTTTCTTCAGTTTCCTAATAGCTGCTAAAGAATCAGTGAAGATGTCTACCATCTTTGGCTTTTAAATGTCGCACTGCTTTCTTATGAAACAACCATTCCCACTTCACCCTTATACTGGTTCGATTGTTTCTCGTTTTCTGTTTTTGAGACTTAAGGGCACTCACCAATATTTTTGCTCTGCAGTCCAGTGGCAAGTCCTGGCAATGAGCTGCCCATTGTGGGACCACCTCTGGTCACCTCCTCCAGTTCGGGCAGCTGCCAGATCTACCAGGGAGTGACGTGTGGTCAGTACCTGGGCAACCGCAGTGTCTTTGTCCGGCCGCCTCCAGCCACGCTAGCTGCCATGGAGGAAAAGCTAGCCGCTGCATTCACCGTCATCGCCACCTCACAGGTGAGCCAATTACAGCAGCAGCCATAGTGCTGTCTCAGTGGCATTTTACCTCCAATTTTCTCAGAGGGGTGGGTGGAGTGGGAGGCAACTTTGCTCAATGCAAAGGCCACGTCATAACTTACATGACCTTCTTCGTGTGCACGCATGTATTGCTTATCACCAGTCAAGCACAAGTTGAGACGCTCCTAAAAAAAACAAACACTGAAGACAAAAAACAATTTTTCCCGCATGAGCAATCTATTCTTTCACAATTCCAAAATTAGCTTGCTTGCCACGAGGAGACGCTTGGTGAGAAAATGTGCGAAAAGTAAATGCAGGTAGCGATGCTACCTTGAAACTATGTCATCAAATGCCATGACGTCATATCTACTAGTTCATATGTAGTTCTTCATCAGTAAAAATTAAGTACACTGCTCTTGAAGGGGCTATAGGATTGGGATATGAAGTTTCAGGAAATATTATTGAGCCATTGTCACTAAAGTATGCAAAAAACCTCTTGAAATCTTGACTTCAGCGGCAGAGATTTTGGCTGGCAATTAAAGTAATGAAAGTTTTACCTTGATTTTCTTCAATGTTAACAAAGATTTGATAGTTAAACCAGTGACATTAGAGATCCCAAAGTATGATTTCTCAGTCTAAACCCATTCATTGTCTCCTTTAGGTGTCCCTCTAAACATATTAATGAAAGCCTCCCTATGTACTACAGTAAGGCTATTCCACAAGTTTCTTTCTCTAACTCGATTCTATTCATGCATTTCTTCATGCAGGACGTCTCAGCCACGTGCCACAAGTATGCCATCCCATCTCTGTGCTTCTTCGTGTTCCCGCCGTGCGAGCCCGCCCCAGGCGCACCACCCGACCGTCCACCCGAGCCTCGTTCCGTGTGTCGTGACGAGTGCGAGCTCCTGGAGCAGAGCCTATGCCGCATGGAGTACTCGATCGCCAAGCGACACCCGCTGATTGGCCAACAGAACATCCTGCCCGTCTGCGAGGACCTGCCACCCATCGGGTCGCCCGAGGCTCAGTCCTGTCTGCGTCTGGGCGTTCCGCATCGGGAAACTAATGATGTGAACAAAGGTGCGTCACGCGCGTGTGTGACAGTCGCAGAAATGGTGCAAGATAGTCGAGTGTAGTGTGCCATTTTCAATTAGTGATGTTGCTGCATCGTAGTATGCATCTGGTTGCTGCAGGTTCAATTTGCAGAAGCAGCAGCCATAATATGATGCCAAGATGCAAAAAGGTCCTGAAAGTTTCATATTTGTTATAAATACAGCCTTAGTAAGCATTGAACGGGGTGTTTTGCAGAAACTAATTAAGTGAATGCCATTTGACAGCTTTTCTTTTTTCCATTCATCCAGCAGCACTGCTTCAAGTGCATTCAGTGAAGCCGTAGTGGGGAAAGTACAGGGACCAAAGAAACAGACAGGACCCTCGGATCATGTGTTTCAGCACTATGGCTTCATTGAATGTACTGAACCAACTTGGCCAGAACTCTTTCCTTCTGCTCAAGCAACATGCGCTGACCAATTCGTCATGTAATAATTTTACAGAGGAAGGCTGCTACGTGCACGGTGGTGAAGACTACCGCGGCGTGGTGGCTGAGACAGTGTCCGGGCTGCCGTGCCAGCCGTGGACGCACCAGATTCTGTTCTCGCGCATTGCCGAGTACCCGGAGATTGTAGGTGGCCACAACTACTGCCGCAACCCGGGTGGCATGGAGAGCCAACCCTGGTGCTTTACTTCGGGCGCCGTCGTCAAAAAGGAAATCTGCAACATCCCCAAGTGCGGTGAGTGTGCCACAGAGCTCGCTCATGCACATCGCATTTATGCCAGTATTGTTAACCTAGTGAGAAAGTCGCTAAATTTAAGCCTCTTTTCAGTTCTGCACTACCGACACTTGGACAAAAAGTTGCTACAACTCTTTGGAGTCGTAGCGACTTCTTTGGAGACTTTCAAAATTTGACGTAAAGTGTTCTAGCACAGACAGAAAATTGGGAAAGTGTGAGAACCGTGGAATGCTCGAAAGGAGCTTCATTAAATGAAGCCAAAGCGTCGAGATGAAGCTGCTTGTGGCGCTGCGATCTTTAGCGTGCTTACCAGTTCACAGCGGCGTGGCCAGGAAGTAGCAGTGCAGTTGAACCTCATTCACCACAAGAGAAGTTAATCGATATGTTGTTTAAAGAAGAAATAATCCTTTCACATGCCTTTATCAAATCAAAAACTAAAGACTCGGTAAAAAGTCATTATCATCGTTTCGTGGCTATTAGCTAAAATTGGTGACTTTTCGGAAGCATTCTGGCGACTTTTGCTTTAAAAAAAACTAACACCGCTGATTTATAATCATCCGACAATCACATCTACGTGAAGTGCAATGGGATGTTACCAAGCATATGCATTTTTGCACTTTAGCAGAATCTTCGAACAACATTGTCCTCTGGCCATGTAAGCTATGGGTGGTCATAACTGTTTATAAAATACAGTAGGTGCTATGTCATGAGCTCTTTCTCACAGTGCCTACTTCAGGTAGATCATCTGAAAGAGAAATCTGAATAGCCATTCTATGTATCTGTAAATGTACAGTTGCTGGTAGTAATATATTTGTCAATCTATATGAACATTTTGAATGGAGTGTCTGTAGATATTGATACAAAAGATACAAGTACTTTATGATGTTACTCTATGAAGTGTCTCATGGAGCAGCATCGCAACACAGCACTAATTACATGTGACAGTTCATGTACAGTGCTCAACGATTGGAATGTGTGAACATAACGTTTTTCAGTATAACAATCTCTATGAGCAATTGCTTGTGATGACTGCATTATGTTGCTAAGAATGTGAATGCTATAGGTAATGTTGACTCTGATGTAAGTGTTAGAGTCACAATTACATTGATATGACACAAACTAGAGATGCTGGAAACAAAAATATCTGAATTACTTTTAGCTATAAAGTATTGCACTTCAATCTGAGACTGACAAATCTATCTGCCAAAGCAGGTCAGCTATTGCATGTGTTCATGAGTATTCATGGTAATTCATGTTTGATAATTGTGCACACGTTCCCTCAAACCCCAGTGGACTACCTATGGCTGTACATCCTGCTGCCCAGCATGGCCACTCTGGCCCTGATTGGTCTCCTGCTGGGCATAGCATGCTTCCGTCGCCGTGCAAAGCCGTCGCCTCCGCCTTCGGCCAAGAACTTTGCTGGAAAAGCTGCCCTCCGGGGGCCTGCCCAGCAGAACCTCGAGTTAGGCCGACTCTTGCCTCGACCAACAAGGCAAGCTTTCTTGTATGACTTTATGATCATCATAACCATCATCCTGACTGCGCCCACTGCAAGACAAAGGCGTCTCTCTTGTTCCGCCAGTCAACTCGGTCCTGTGCTTGCTGCGGCCACTTTATAGCTGCAAACTTCCTAATCTCATCTGCCCACCTAACTTTTTCTCTCCCCCTCACCTGCTTGCCTTCTTGGGAATCCAGTCAGTTACCCATAATGACCAGCGGTTGTCCTGCCTACACGCTAAGTACACGGTACATGTCCATTTCTTGATTTCAACTATGATATCCTTAACCCCGATATATTTCCTGGCCCACTCTGCTCTTTTTTGGTCTCTTAAGGTTACACCTGCCATTTTCCTTTCCATTGCTTGCATGCGTCGTCCTCAATTTAAGCTGAACCCTCTTTGTAAGCCTCCAGGTCTCAGCTTTATAGATAAGTACTGGCAAGATGCAGCTGTTATATGCCTTCCTCTTCAGGGTTAGTGGCAGATTACCAGTCATGATTTGGCAATGCTTGCTGAATGTGATCCACCCCATTCCTACTCTTGTAATTACTTCAATCTCAGCGTAAGTATGCCTCTATAGGCAGGGAAGGAGGGCCAAGCAAATGAAAGCTTAGTAGCCTTCAGCTTAGCAGCACACCTGAGGTGCTAAGTTATCACAACTGGATGCACTAATTAAGGCAAAGCAAAAAGAGTTTGGCAGCGCTAAGACATAGTAGCGAATGGCGGTGATTCATTGGGCATTGCTGCTTTTGGATTCTCCCACACTAGTGTGAATGAGTATACTTGAAGTAATTACCGTATTTACTTGCATAATTTGTGCACTTTTTTTCGCTATTGTGCGGCTCCAAGAAGTCCGGGGGTGTAGATTACATACATGGGGATTTGCAAATGCATTCGAAATAATGAGCAGTAGTCCCAATGTGCACAATATATATATTAAAAAATAAATTGAAGCACAATGTATACTTGTTGATTAAACAGAATTAGCACATGCTTTAACCAGACAAATACGGTCACACGCGGTCTAGTTAGGGTCACTGATGGAGACGTCCGACTGAGAAATATTGCCACGGCAGCTGCTGCCGCCCTCCCAAAGCGCATCTTCCGTGGTTCTGTTGAGCAGGTTCGAATGCCCCATTTTCTTGAAGCTCTTCTCGGCAATGCTGGAAGAAACTAACCACGGCACGGCGATACTGGACGACCTAAGCATTCGCACATGATGGAAAAGGCTTTCTTCATTGCTGGGAAACTTGTATGTATTACCAAGCGCGCACTCTTCTGCTTTCTCCTGTACTAATCGCTCTGATCGTCACACACTGAAGAACTTCACGCTGAAGTGCTTGGTGACGGCACGGTTTCCGTTTTCATTGGCAAACTTTGTAACAGCAAGCTTGAATTTTGCCATATATATAATTACTTTAGCCCATCACAAGAGAGCAGTAAAAATGCGGTGAATGAAGGGTGAAACCTAAACTTCTGAGATCAACCAAACCTGCATTGCAGTGCCAACACAAACTACGAGGGGAATAGCTGGCGCGACAGGCTCTCACACACTTCCAATACAGAAAGTAGAAAGTTGTCCGCGCCGTGACGCAAGCATGCATTTGCAAGATAGAGATGGGGACATAGAGGGAGGCAAACGCTCAAGCAGTTCCGGCGACTCGTCAATAGGTTTGAGTGTTCGGGTATGGTGTTCTAAGAACCCTAGTACAGCGAAGTTCTTGGTACAAGGGCTTCGCACTCGCAGCCTATTTGAATGTGCCCGTCTGCTCGGTGAGGGGTGCACCCGTCCAATGCATCCAAATGTCTAAGTCTCTTCATGCCCATGCCGGCGAGATGGCTCAGGCGGATCAGGGAGCGTAAAGTATGTGAGTAAATATATATATATATATATATATATTTTGTAAAGCTGGCAAAATATTAGGCGTGCGCAAATTATGCGAGTAAATATGGTAAGTTACAAATTATGCGAGTAAATATGGTAAGTCAAAGCAAACGAGATTGACATTGAACATTTTCTGATGCTCCTGCAGGGCTCCCGAGGTACCAGCTGCACGAATTCGTTTCCTCGAGGAGCTGGGTGAAGGAGCATTTGGCAAGGTGTACAGAGGAGAGATGCTACCCGCCAAGCGTGACTGCAGTGCCCCCGTGCCGGTCGCCATAAAGACTCTGAAGGTAAGTGGAGTTTCGTGATCTTGTCCGAGTACGTCTGAATTGACTGTACAGTGGTCGGACTTAATGCATATCAGATGCTGAAACACAAGAATTGTGAACGTCTGTGTTTATGACAGTTCTGAATAATGTATTCATTATGAGGTACCACTAAACGGCATTTATTGAATTGGTTCCCGTGTCGACTGCATTGAGGAATTGTGGTGTAACAAAAGCAAGAGCCACAAAATTACAGATTGAGGTAGCAAACTGCAGGCACAATTAAAATAAATTACCGCCTATGCCAAACACAATATGTACTTCGCCTTGCCAAAAACAGTGACAAGAAAACTACGAAAACGCTTTTGTTTCTACAGTGCCTTTGAGATGGGTTCATTCTGTGAAGCAATACTTTTGCACAATTTAAAATATTTTGTTTTCGAGTACTGCAAACTGGTCCAACGTCTTTTGCAGAACACAAAGATTGTAAGATGAATAACCAAAGCCTTGATGTGGTTAAGAAGTGGTGGCGATTTCTTTGCAGTATTAAAAAAGGACGCAATAAATGTGGCCTTTGAATGCTGATATCGTGCAGCTATATATGCAGGCAAACTACACATGTACGCAATCTTTTTGTCCAAAGTGCTTTGAAAATGGGAACATTGTGGTGGGAAAAGCAAGCTTTAGGCTTATAGTGCATGCTCAACGAAATTTACCAAGAGGCATATCTTGAGACTCGCTTCTGGCAACATTGCAAGGTCACTTTTCATCACATAGAATCTTGTATATCCATGGCTAAAGTGACTGCTTGCCCACCTTTCCTCAACCAGTCAGTAGGCAGGCACACACAGCGATATTATCCCTTTTGGTCTGCATTGTGGTCAACTCTCTGTGTATGTCTATAATTTTCGTGATTTGATGCCAAGGTTCAGGAGATCGTGTTTAAGGCAAGTGCAAGTGTTAGCATAAATTACAGTGTGTTTTGCAGCAATTAATTATAATTGCAATGTAAATAATGATTCAATTATTGCTCACTCAGGCATGCTATATAAGTATTCGTAAACTGAATTCAACAGCCCACCCAAATTACATGCGATAGTTATGCACTGGCAGCGAGCATTCCTAAAAGGCTAAAATATTAGAGTCAATTTCATCAGAACCACCTCACGTCCAACACCTAATTCAACACGGTACTGCCTTTAATTAAAGCGATAGTGTGTAGCACAATACTGTAAGCAGAAGTGATATAAAGAAGCTTTAACTTCAGAGGTGGCTCAAGAATTTTTTTACTGGGCGGGGCACTCGTGACAAGAGAACTCTTTCAGGGAGAGAAGAAAATTGAGAACTCGTGCGTTGCTTTCTGGCTGGCAGAATTGCGAAGGGGGGTCTTTAGCGCACCTGTGTACCCCACTGGCACTACCCCTGTTTAATTTGGTGTTTGAGGTCTCTTCCTTATTAACAGTGCATATATATGACATGTCCAAATGCATGTCCAAATGATCACGCCGTGCCACAGAGTTATGGCAAAATCTAACTTAACTACACTCACATTTCATAATAACAAAGTTGATACTATGGGAAAATAGGTTCGTTATATCCAAAAATTTGTTATAAAGGTATATTATAAACACTACATCTATTGCAAGACTATTCTTCGCTTACTTTGTTATAACCGATACTTCGCTATATTAGGGTTTGTGTGTACAGTGCTAGAAAGGCATTGACGATTTAAACTGATTTCAAGTGTGTAAGGGAACAAAGCGATGCGGCATGCAGTCAAGTCACACATCGCGATGCAGGAGAATGCGGCCATGAAGACACAGCAGGACTTCCAGCGGGAGGCTGAGCTGATGAGCGACCTGCAGCACCGCAACATTGTCTGCCTGCTGGGCGTGTGCACCAAGGAGGAGCCCCTGTGCATGCTCTTTGAGTACATGCCCCACGGAGACCTGCACGAGTTCCTGGTGGCTCACTCGCCACGGTGCGAGGGCGCCACACAGGTGCTCGACCTGGCCGACTTCCTACACATCTCCCGGCAGGTCTGTCACGCCCTGCTTTCTAATTAATGCACTGCGGTAGAAATTTTCCTAATGACAAGGCATATTGCTAAGCAGCCACTAGCGACAAGCTAAAATATTTTACTTGTTTATCATTCTCGTTTTGTAATAACAATATTCTTATTTGCAAATTTATTGTGTAACTAAAACCCCCCTTTGCGTTGCCCGAATGGGCTTTTAGGGTATATATCAATAAAAATAATATGATCTCTTAATATTATCTTGGTAGGCCTGACTTATTGATGAAACCAAAAAAAATGATTTCAGGGGCATAAAATATTTTTTATCGCACAACAGTCCAATGAAAATGGGAACAAGTAAGGACAAAGTACTAGCACTGCCTGCACTAGTCGTAAGTGTCCTCGCTTGTCCATCTTTTTATTGCACTGTGTTAAATTTCCCGTGCTGATTGCACAAGAAGAGAGACTGCAGGTGAGCGAGTTCGTGAGCTTGTTCAAGGAAGAAGATGAGAAAGCAACTTCATTTTCTGAGCTCATGAGGATGCCAATAAACGCCTGTCTGAGTTCTCAAGTCCATGTCGGCTGCTCAGTTGGCCTCATATTTTACAACTCTATTTAATTGTGGAAACATACCAACTGGCTCGCATTCAAATGCTATCATGAAATATTGTCAAGGGTAAGGAAATAAAACAACAGTACAATGCAGTGTGAAAATAAGTATGAAAGTTGAAACTCAATTCATGTTCTAGATTGCTGATCAACATCAAACCAGTGCGTTAAACCAACTTAAACAAGGCAACCCAAATGCTGTAATCATGTAAACGCTGGCCCCTAGTGTAGTTATGCTTGCTTGTATGTGCTTTAGTACTGCATTTTTCACTTCACACAGCTTATAAAAAGCGAAGGTTCCTCATTTCATTGTGACTGCAAACTTTATTTACAATGACCTGCAAGTTTCAGTATTCTGCTAACAACAATGTTCCTTGTCATGCCCATACAAATCTCTAAATTGCAGGGCATTAATTACTTATCGCACCTGTCTTGCTTGCATTGTATTGTGCCTCAGCGCCGTGGTTCTGACTGTGAACATGAAACTCTTCACAGGTGGCTGCTGGCATGGAGTATCCTCTCGGCGCACCACTATGTGCACCGCGACCTGGCGGCGCGCAACTGCCTCGTTGGCGAGGCACTCACGGTAAAAATATCCGACTTTGGACTGTCCCGCGACGTCTACTCCTCCGACTACTACCGCGTCCAGTCCAAGTCACTACTGCCCGTGCGCTGGATGCCACCCGAGTCCATCCTCTACGGCCGCTTCACGACGGAAGTGACGTGTGGTCCTTCGGCGTCGTACTCTGGGAGGTGTTCAGCTATGGCCTGCAGCCGTACTACGGCTACTGCCAACCAGGAGGTCATCGACCTGGTGCGCGCACGCCAGCTGCTGCCCTGCCCCGAGGACTGCCCGCCGCACCTGTACGCACTCATGGTCGAGTGCTGGCACGAGGTGCCCAGCCGGCGGCCGCAGTTCCGCGAGCTGCACGCGCGCCTCTGCTCGTGGCAGGCGCTGCATGCACGCAGCGCGAGCCTCAGCACGCACGGCAGCAATCCACACGGGCTCCACGTCGGTCAGCCACAAGGGCGGCGGAAGTCCGCTCCTGGGCGGACCACTTGGAGGAGTCGTCCTGGTCGACCGGCCCTCGACGCCGCTCGGGGGAATGACTCGGGGCCCGCCCTGCCCACTGCAGAACCCGCCACCCCCACCGCCACTGTCGCACTTCGGGCCGCCGTACAACGCGCTTGACACGAGGGTCTCCAAGGTCTGACAGCTCCCACGCAGCTGCTACTTTGTGTGAGCTGCGTAGGCAAACAACTCATCCATCTCTCGCTCCCAAAGCAGGGCACTCCTGAAAGTGTCTTGTGCCTCAGGGATGTAGCAGCGGAGTTTTCAAGCCACATTGCCCACCAATAGCTTGCCAGTGGACTTGAGGAAACCGGCCACCACGGCTAACATCTCAAGTGTCGGTGCCTGTGCATGGCCCTCTGCTTCTTCTTGTGAGCTTAACGAACTCTTTCACCCAGATGGGTGCAACTGCTCTGTGAACCTGCCACCACAGAGAACCTTGCCGCAACATTACTACTGAAGTGCGCCGAGGAAAGCATCCAGCATTCGAAAACACGATAATAAGAGACTACGAAGGGAGTTGGGAGGACTGCTGAGTTATGTGTTGGTCCCTTGAACAAATGGTTGTGGGGACTTCAATCAACAACAGAGCGAACTACGACTGTCTCGACGACAGCGGTGCGGCACAGCTTCGTGCGCCGCATCTAGTGCTTCAGCAACTGGTCAACCACCGACGAACAAACTTTAGCGATGAATACGGTGCCCCGAGCTTCAGCAACGATGCCTCTGAGAGTGCATGTATGTGGCCAAAGTCAGCGAACACTGCCACAGGAAAAAAAAAAAAGGCTTTGCGCGAAATGTGTGCATGCTCTTTGACATTGATGAAGAAATGATATACGAGACAGAACAAAGAATCAGAGAATACACATCCCTATACAATTTATAAAATGCACACGGTGTCCACGGATGTCATGAAACGTGTCAGAAGAATACTCATCTAAATGAAACACGTTTGTGTTCATTTGTCTTAGCATGAGTAACGTATACTTCTTCGTAATACGAATGCTTCACACTTTTTTACAGTCAAAGCTTGATGACACCACATGTATGTATATCTGCAATAAGAGAAAGTGTTCCTAAGCTTGTTTTCATAAGGCAGCAAACATTTTACATCAATGTCACAATTCATTGTTCTTTTACTTCGCAGAAGTCTTACCGCATTGGACACATCCACTTAAGTTTGCCTTGATGTGTCACCAGCGTGTCAGTATCACAGAAACAGTGAGGTGCTATTTTACAGCCTGTAGTAACAACGTGCTTCAAAGCGTAGATAAATAAGCAAACTACTCAACTTCCGCGGTGCTAAGAACAACCAGCATTCATCAGAACAAAGAAAGTGTTGAAGGTGCAACTTTACTAATCCTACAGCGGTAATAAATGAGTACTTAGTGCCATGAAAGGAATACTAGCAAAGTTTCGAATAAAGAGGTAACCATTTGATTTTGTCCTTGGCAGACTTTACACAGCCCAAAACGACGACAAAGGGACAAGAAGATGAGCGCAAAACAATCGTTTAGCGTTCGTCGTCATTCTGAGCTCACTCTATAACAATCGTCATGACCTATCAACTAACCCAAATTGCCACGCTTCTAATTACAAAGCCAACACAGTTGGCTGTGTTGGTTATCAGTGCACCTTATGGAGCTAGCACGTACTGCTGGCACGGTCAGGATGCACAGTTCCACGCTCCAAAGTGTTAAGCAATTACGAGCTAGTGGCTGCAATGGCATTACTTTCATCTTTAGTATCAAAGTCTTGCAACCTCTTCGTGGCAGGTTTTCATATTTAAAACACCATTTCTTGAGCAAAATTTTCATAACCCGAGAACCATGTAAAACTAAGCCTCATACGCAGCTCAAGCTTGCATTGCAGCTAGCCTTTAACAGGAGAAGCATGCCTACATGTCATATAACCCATCAGCTGTACTGTTTCTTAGAGGATGTTTAATGACATGTTTATTTTTCATCAATACATTTGATGATGCCCACATTATGGCTTATAGTGGCTTTCACATTTGTTTGTTAGTTGTTTTACATTGAACAAAGCCTTCGAAAATAGCCATTGCTAACCAAAGCCCATGTGCAGGGTGGCATGACCTTTTTCACTGTTCGGAAATCCAGCTCGTAGTAGGCTTCACAGTCTCGTGCGGGGCAAATTCATCAACTAAATTAGGCAGGTGAGAAGACTGCTGTGCAGATTATGGTATTGTAGTATATTTAGGACAATTACAGTTTGTGTCTGAAGATATCCCGTGTAAAAAAAAAAAAGATAATTGTACGGATGAAATTTACAAACTGCTTACTAGGGCCACTTTAAGTTCAGCAGCAGGAAAAAAACTGACATAACATAGGAAAAGAAGTGCGCATTAATGTTTACCCATCGCCAATCTCCGACATGTTTACCCGAATGTGCAAATTTGCACATTCGGGTAAACATGTCGGAGATTGGCGATAGTGCGTGTGAAGGCAAGCTGTATTTGTTTAATCTTTGGTAGATGAATCGCAAATGGGGTCTTGTTATTTGAAATTCCGCTGGCATTGACAGGTACCTTCAGGGTGCCACTTTTTACAAAACGTTAGTTTAGACCTGTGAAGGCTCATTACAGTAATTCCTGTTAATAATTAATGATATAAGCATGCCCTTTGTCCCCTAAAGCTGCCACTTGGCATGTGATGTTAGGATTGGAATAACAGAAAATTAAATCGTGTGTGGCCATTTTCTTTTGACAATATTTGCTCTAGTGAAAGTCGGCTTAGGATTAGTTGATGTAAGCACAACACACGGGGGGGGGAGGGGGGGCTGGTCTGCTTACCTGCTTACGTCATCTGCCCTGCACTGGAGCAACTCCATGGCATGCATTCTCTCTGGAAAGGACGAGATTTGCATGTTACTGCAATGATACTCCACTCTGCATTGTATTTTTTCAAGCTTAGAGAGGAAGAGTCAAGGTGAAACGGAAGCCTTATCCGTCGCACCAAAGCCATCGTCATGGTACTGCAAAACATAAAATTTATCCCGGCACTATACAGTTAATTTCTGGTACACTCAGGGGTGCTCATATTTCCCAGTTAGCAAAGGTTAAATCCTGGGTATTCACGGGCCGATATCGCGATACAATTTCAAGGCATGCCACAGGGGAGGGGGGGGAACCCGAATTTATTACGACAACTGAGCTTTGAGATGCATTACAAATCAAAGTGCACATGTGTTTCTGAACTCCAACCCTTTATCCCCACACTAAAAAGCAGCGGCCGGGAGTCAAACACACATCGTTGAGTTTACAGGACATTGTATATCTGCCTAGCTACCGCGGCAGTTCGTTTGACCGTCCTGACTCAATGTTCGCGAACGAGGACACTCGCACTCAAAATTTCACCATGAGCCTCAAATTTCACTCCGATTACGCCAGTGTTCTTCGCAAGAAGCATGACATGCCATTTACATTATTTCTACACGAGTCGGTTTTACGCCGGTTTTTTACTTCCTTTCCTTTACACGTCGTTTACGAAGGATGTTTCTACAGACATTTTGTACGAGAAATACGTTTTTACTCTGTTTTGTCATGTAAAAACCCGCCTTGTTAGTGTTGTTTTATTATGCATTTGATGTTGTGCTGTCACAGTGGATTGCCAGAACTAGCGTAACGTGGTTCGAGCAGCAATAAGAACACACTAAGGTCACATTAGAGACACGAAGTGTTGCCTGTTCTGTCATTCAGAACATCAAGAGACATTTATAAAACACTTGCACCACTTCCTACACTCTCATATCTTTTTTAGTACTTTCGTTGTGCCATTCTTTTAAACTGCATGTTGTTCTACAGAAAAACATGTTTTGTGCAACTAGTCCATCTAGCAAAACAAACATTATGTGTTAAAAAAAGAGTTTTTACGTGTTTATTTGTGGAGAGATCTTGAAGTGGCTTCAGACATTGTTACGGAATAGCACATACAATCTGTTACATTTTCCTGTCTATAACATGGCAGCCATAATAAAATCTTAGGCAATAAAAAAAAGAAGATATTCGAATGTTTACAATACTGACTGTCAATCGTAAAAAAAGACATTGTGATCGTGAGCAAAGAAACTTATGTTTTTATGTTTCGAAGCAAATGCTAAAATTACGTGTGAAAAGCACTAGTACTTACTCTTTGTCTCCTAGTGTGGTTTTTGTGAGGAAATGACAATTCAAGGCTTGGTCATTTGTTTTTTGATAGATGATTGCCGCCCACGAATGATTTAGGAACACTGATGGACAAAAAATGCTTTGTTCTGGGCTAACATCTTCAGATAATTGGGTTTAAGATCATTTAGTATCACCCAAGAAGACCTTACCGCAGTGTGATAACAGTTTGCTTACCGCAGTATGACATACAATTTTTAATCTATTCCTGGAACATGCAGGTTTGAGGAGACGTGATAATAGAGCACTGCTGTTTGAATGACCATTCCATTGCAATGTTATGAAGCCTCTTCAGAGTCATATTATCTCTGCCTTTTGATAAATATGTTTTAAGAGTTGAAAGGATAGTATGTATACTTATAAAATTTCTGCACGGTGTGCAAGAAGTGTCATGTCATGACAAAGGGAGGATGTGCGTGTGATGACCTCCTGTATAGCGCATTGTCCTCTCAATGATAATTTCGGACTTGCCGACCTCCCTCTTCGCACACGATACACTCGACCTAAGAACAAAAGGAGATACGAACAACGAAGCTAATCCCCCCAATACCAAGAATCTCCACCGGTGGCTACGTAATAGATATTTGTAACAATCTGTGAACACTTCCTCTATTTTACTTGACTCCCACGTGAAAACGCCTCCGTTCTGAAATTGCCACTCACTGCGGGCAGACTAAGTACGTGAAAAGGCTTTTGTATAACACCCAGCTGTGTGTTCCGGCCTCCTACGGGCGCAGGAATATTTTCTAATTTTCGGAATAAAAAGCTAGTTAACAGGAGCACATCATCTGTGCACTGCTATCAGCAATGCTTTCAGTGTTGTTTGCTAGGATTGTTAAAACCCCATTTGTTGCTACCTGTTCTTACACTGAGTCAAAATAAGTGGACACACACACAGCCTCCCGGTATAATATGTACGAGCACAGAGAAAAACATATCGCAGTCCTACAGGCAACGGGAAACGCTCGTGAAATGCAGTTACCACAGTTACCAGGTTCCCTTGACAACACTGCTGAACAGGCTCATAACAAACAAACATGTTGCATCCAACAGTAGTTGTAGGTGTGTACATGTGCACATGCTGAATGCCGACAATGGTCAGAGAGACTTTAACGTTTCCTCACTGTATGTGAATGCAAGAGTTATTGACCATGAGAACATACTGCTCAGATATTCATCAATGCATTGCAAGATGCCGTAATTTATGAACTTTTGCAGCCCTTGCAGTAAGAAGAAAGACAAACCAGTTATAGCAGCTATGTGTGTCACGTCACTACATCACCAGTACTTAGTTCACATTTGTGAGTGGAAGTAGTACTGTCAATACGGAACACTTAGACATCACCATCACGCTTTACCGAAACAAGTATCAATGAAAAGGGCTGGAAGCATTACGTTACAAAACAAAAAAAAACAAAAAATTTGAAGCAAGCACAGTTGTAACCGTAGCAACTACGTTCCACGAGCGCTCGCCAACGTAGTTTAGGTGACACGCATCACCTCAACACTCGTGCCAGAGCCGACGCAAGTGTAATTAACATTTGCAAAAAAGTATATATATGCGCACTTGTGCTTTCATGTACGTTTGTGTAAATTGCATTTGCTACATTTGAGGTTGCGTCGACAGCCACCGGCCGACGTCTCCCCCTCAACTAAACCCCACTGATTCCGCCTTTACGACCTCCCACCAACCCCCCCCTGTGACCTTTATTGCACTTCACAAAGGGTGCTCTCCCGCAACGCTCTTGCAGTGCGTGTGTCGAACTGTTCGTTCACATTTGTACAAAAGAAAAAAAACTAAAATTTTTTGCCCGTCAGTGTCTGTGACTGGATGTGTTACTCTTTTTATACGTAAAGATTAATAAAGTTAAGTTATGGTGAATGCTGTGTTTGTCTCTTTGAACCCTTCACAGGCGAGCTCTCGGCTATTAAAAGCTTGGACAGTAACTACTTATTGATGACACATTACTGGTAAACAGTCAACTTTTTGGAAGCCGTGGTAATGTAACCAGTTACTTTTTCACTCGTGTAACCAGCAATACAGCTACGCAATTGGTGCATGGCAATGTCATTCTATTACAGTTACTAAAACACCACAGTGCCTGCTACTTTTGCACCTGATGAAGAATGTTTCAATCATTAAAGTATTCATTCACGAAAAGGAAATAGATATCGGTAAAATCTATATTGCAGGTATATGGTGGACTTTCATTGTTTGTGCCTGACACATATTAGTTGCTGCTCGCACAGCAACTGAAAAATTGTGCTACTCAATTAGCAGTAGCTGTAGCTAGCGAAAGTTGTTGAAAGTTGTAACTGTGACTTTAATGGAGTTAGTACTTTTGAAATATGGAAATTTTTTCCTTCATATTTAGTACATCTTGCAGGTAGTAATACAGGCTAGTTCAAAGAGTATAGCCCCAACAGAAACCCAAGTGTGATTCATACCAAAATTCAGAAGAAAAAAAATGCCTCTGTCACGTGCTTAGTATGCCAATTAATGTCATCTCTGGCGATTACTTTGGCAAAATCCGTGGGATATATGCGACGCTTTACAAGAAAAATCCCTTCTAAAAGGAGAGAGAATTCCTTCGGTTCATCTTAAAATTTTTATCTCCATTGTCTGATACAGTTTAAGTACTCGAAGAGTGTTTAAATTTTCAACCTTAATTAAGAAGCGTTTAGCAATTCAACTGTGCCATGTGACAAAAAAAGGTCGTCTAATGAGACAATCACCTTTTATCACATACCTAGTACTTACAATGCAGGTAAGATGAAAAAAGGGGCCTTGTCTGTCTGTTGTG